CATAGTTGACAAAGGCACTGTTTAAAAGGTATGTCTCATCCTGAGTTTCCATTCTCCAGTCTGTGTTTTTGTTAGCCTTTTGTTTTTATATCCTCCAGTGACATCCTACATTCAACTTGCCTGTCACCAAACGTCCCCCTGCTCCACCACCAGCGCCCCATTCTACCTGTGCTGTTTTCCTTCTGCTGAGACTCACTTCCACCTGTGCCCAGTGCCACCTGCCTTTCCTTCTACCCAGCCTCAGTCCTACCTATTGTCCATTCTACCTACACTTAGTTTTGTAGTCAGTTCTGTCTTTCCTTCTACCCCGCCTCAGTTCTACTTGTGCTCAGTTCTACCTGCCTTTCCTTCTACCCAGCCTCAGTTCTACCTATTGTCCATTCTACCTACACTTAGTTTTGTACTCAGTTCTGTCTTTCCTTCTACCCAGCCTCAGTTCTACTTGTGCTCAGTTCTACCTGCCTTTCCTTCTACCTGTGCTCAGTCCTACCTGTTCTCCATTTTGCCTATCAAACTACCTAGTGAAATGGGGCCCAAACAGATTTAAAACTCGGGCGCTGGGGTACTTCAGGAGGGCTGGGGGTGTTCGGGGACGAGTTCCGTCCAGGGCTCCCTCCAGGAGCCGTGCCAGGCAGTAGCCAAGGCCACACCAGCAGGGGGAGCCCTGCGAGAGAGATGTTTGAAGACAGGAGACTAAGAAATGAACTAGATCAGGGGCAGACAGGGAGAGTTTGTGGATCTTTTTCTTTCTGGACCACCTTTAAAAATATTGACGTACTTTCTCTTTATAAAAACAATCTGGGCTTACTCTCCCTCCACTCATGACTGTCTGGTATCTTTTCTAGTCATATTTCGTTTTTCTTTACTGTATATTCTTTACATTGGTCAAATGTATATACATAATTACTGCAGTTTTCCTCTTCAATTATGTTCTCATGCTAACAAAATGCTCCATATTTGCATAGTTAATGTTTAATGATTTAATGGTTGTACAATATTTCATCATAACGCAAGTTATGGTTGCTGGATTTGCCAAATAAAAATATAGGACCCCCAGTTCAGCTTGAACTTCAGGTAAACAACAGATGTCTTTTTCTAGTATATGTATATCTCATGTAATATTTCATTGCAACGTTTAGGACACATTTATATTTCTTTGTTTATCTGAGATTCAAATGGAGCTAGGCATCCTGTATTTTATCTGGCAACCCTACAAAATATCATATGATTTACACAGTTTCTTGTGGTGGATGTTTAAAATTTTCAGCAATGCTATGAACATCTTTGGGTATGAAATTTTCTATTTTGAATTACTTCCTTTGGTGGATTATTAGAAATAGAATTACTGAGGAGATGAGTATTTATTTTCAAGACTTTTCAAGCCTATCTCCAAATCACTTTTTTAAAAGGTTATAGCAATTTATGTTCCCACCAACAGCATATAAGAGTCCTCATTCCCTGCACCCTTGCTCACATTATCATCATTGAAATACTTCTTTGCTATTTTGGCAGGCAAATAACGATGTATCATTTTCATCTTTGATTGCTAATGAGGTTCACTTTTTTGTTGTTGTTTATTAGGCATTTAGTGTCCTGGTTTTTAAATTTTCTGCAAGTATATCCTGACTTCTGTGGCCCCATTTTGCATTGCTTTGAAGTTATAAGGAATATGTCTTATTTTTACTTATCAACTTATTTTTACTCAGCTGCTGGTACTGGAGCCTAGTCCCTATGTTCGGGTTCGGGGATGATTCTGCACCATGGCTTTTGCTCCCAGCCTACCTGCTAGGCTACCCATTGTCTGGAAGATAAAAGCTTCATTTAGGAGTCATCTCCCAAATGCATTTAAAATAAATCAATTAAAGCATAGAATAGTAATTTTCTTCTGAGCATACAGAATTAAAGTTTTATTTTCACAGAGCTCCCTCATTTTTGTTCTTAATAAATGACTGGTTTCAAAGGGCTTCCATAAATACTCATTTATCCACCCTTATAAGCCCACAGATATGCTGCAGAGTTCTGTTGTGTTCATGGAAACCATAAGGCTTCATGGTATCTGCAGTGTTTGCCCAGTGAAAATACTGATACCCCAAGGTTGGGACTCCATTCCCAAAGGGCAGGGAGGAAAGAGAGGGGCATTTCAGTGAATTTTAGTATGCAGATCATCCCTTTCCTAATGGAATTCATGCTACACCTTAGAAAAGAGCTGAAAAAGCAAGACTTACTTTCGCTAAGAAAGGAAAGCCTGAACGATGCAAATGACTTCTGGAATACTTCCTTAGGTTTGGTAAAGAGGGCACGCACAGTGCCCGGCAGCACCGCCTCTAACTTGTGGAAATGACCATCTTTCTGGCCCTTCTGGGCTTCCTGTAATGAATCCCCATCGCGGTTAAACAAGGGGCCGTTCGGTTGCCTTCTCTGATATTCTTGTCCAGAGAGACCTCCCAACAGGGCATTTACGTACTCCCAGGACTTGCTTTATGGAAACTGCTGTGTTCTCTTCAGTTTTTCGTTTTCTGTGTTACAACAGTTTTGGCATTTGTTGCCTTGCATGAATTTTTCAGCATGACATGACGGTCCGCTCCCTGAATTCAGTATGTCCACGTCACCTGTTCACGTATCTGGCCTGAGTCTGGCTGCACTGGTATTTCTCATTAATGTTACTCTGTGCTCATACCCTCAGGATTTTGAGACCTCCTCAAGGGTTATGCTTTTCTTTCTACTTTCAGCCTGATCGTTTAAGCTAAGCACATTGATACATTGCTTCTGGTGATAAATAGCTGACTGTGTGATTTCGTTTATTCTAATGTGTAAGTCTCCATTGTGGAACTGGTTTGACCTGCAGAAAATTGATTGCAGCACCTACTAGGTCCACCTAGGCTGATACAGGCCTCTTCCTCAGCAGGAAAAGCTCCTCATCTCATGGGGAAGAGTCTGGGTCACAGCAACTGCATCAGGATCAAATGTGGGCAGAGTACTTCGAAGGCTCTTCTTCCTCCCCCTCTTCCAGCTTTTTCTGATGACTGCAAGAGTAGGGGAAAGTGAATCTCGAGCTTGTGTTGGTCATCAACAGTGGCTTCAGATTCCTTAGAGGAAGAGTTAAAATGTGCGTCTGGATGAGGGGTAAAGAAATAAGGTTAGCCAGTAAGTACCTGTCTTGTAGCCCTGGAGTACGGCCTCCACACCCAGGTTTGCCATTCACTTCTTCAGAGAGTGAAACCTGTAAGCCTCAGTTTCACTGCCTGTAAAGTAGGACAGGAAGAGAAAGTTGTGTGTGATTGAAAGAGGTCGTGTTCTGTTAAAGTCACAGTGTTGAAAGGGCCATAGTTCTAACAGCCTTAGCACAGTGCTTGTTCGGTGTGTAATATTATTAAGACGATTATCCACAGGACACATCTCATTGTCATAAGGAGTAGACAAGACACAAAGGCAGCCTCTCTTGAGCTGAATGGTATGCCAAATATTTATGTGTTTCAAAAGTTCATGAATAGACCATTTTGCCATTTTACTAATCATTGCCTCAATGGAAAACAAGCATTATTTAGCTGTTTCCCTGAACACCAACTTGGAATCTAAATCTCAGCAATTATCATCATTCACAAATAATTTATATTTCTGGGCAAATGGAAGATATCATATCATCATTATTGTATTTGTTCAATTTGAGTAATGTGTCCTTCGAGGACTCATTTGGAAGCAGATATGTATACTATACGTATAAAATGAATTGGAGAAAATATTGGATTTTAACATTTCACTGTAAAGCCTGTATTCCAAGTTAATATAAAAGACATTCAGGCGTTCTGATATATTGCTGGTAAAGGGAGAGTTAGTAAAAGAATGCAATTTGAGAGCTCATTTAATAGGGGAAAAATAGAGACATGTCTCAAAGTATGTTTCATGCTATAATTTTACCAAACTTGTACTGGTTTAATGGGGAAAAAAATATATATCCTATGTTCCTTAAATGTCATTATCTTAGGGGAAAATATTTAAGAGCAAGGAAGGCTTTACAGTGTTCTTAGTTACAAGCCCTAGCAGTGAGCAGTTGCAGTTAATGGCAACAGAACTGCCTAGCTCACAACCCCCCACCAAAGCAGGCACCCTTCAGGGCACGCAAACAAACGTGTGCACACGCACGTCCACACACATACTGTCTGCCTCCATTTGCAGAGGCCAGACAGACTTTTCAGCTTTGGCCCTTTACCTTCCCCATTCTTGATTTTCTGTGTTGCTTTCTTTTTTCCTCCTTCTCTTCCTTTCTCCCCAGCTCCGTCTGGTCTGAGAAGCTCCCAGCTCTCCCACTTGACATTCTGATGAGCCCGCGTTCCTCCTCTCCTTCTTCTCGGGGAGGAGAATTGGGCCATAACTCATTGTGGAGTTGTGGTGATTGCCTCCGCATCGGGCGCGGGGGGATACAGCCTGATTTTGAGAAATTAGAGGCCTTTCTTTGCCATGGCCCGAGAGGAGAGGCTGCACACACATTTGCCTGATAATAACGGCAGCAAGTTTCCAGGAGAGCACAGAAGAGAAGTGCCCGTGATTTCCATCCTGTCTTTAATTTTCTTGTATTTAATGCAAAAATATTTCGAGCTCATTTTTCCGGTCTGGACAATCCTGTATCAGGAAACATTTGAGGTATTAATGGTTAGGGAGAATAAAATACAGCCCTGAGTGTGAGCGCACCAGTGTGTCTCATTCATGTTACTGTGTGCTCATGTCCTCAGCGTTGTGAGACCCCCTCGAGGGTTTTGCTTTTCTTTCTACTTTCAACTTGATCTTCTAAGGACCCCCTACCAAAAAACCATTCCTGAGGTTGGAAGTGACCTATGCCTTTTATGCTGATCAGCCCGGAGAGAGGGGCAGCAGAGCCCAGGGCTCCTGTCCGTGCCCCATTGCTTCTCCCTGACAGTTTCAAGTCCCAGCATCTGGGATGATTCCGGCTTTTCCCATGAGTGTTGTTCTGTCTCATCTAATTCTGTCTTTTGATTCATTTACAGGGAAACTTCGTGGCTTGCATGACAGCTATTTTACGACAAATGGAGGATTACCATTATGCCCACTTGATCAAGACTTTCGGGAAAATGAGGACTGATGTGGTAGTAAGTGTCCCTTTCACCCTGTTCATGTAACCATGTTTTAGGGCCAGCACTTTAGACAAAAGCCTGATATCAATATATTCATCTAAATAGGATTTTGCATGAGAACTTGTCTCTGATTGATTTCAAATGCCTCCTAGGAAGGTCTGACTGAAGTCTCGTTTCTAACAAGACAAGGGTCCGGACTTGCAGACTTGCTTCTAGGGCTGAGTGGAGAATGATTCAGGGGCCGAGCCCAGGGAAGTCTCTTGTCTTTCTTGGTGACAGTCTCCTCTCCTGTGCTTTGGGGTAATTGAAAATTTGGAGATGTTATCCATGGATGGTCTCCCATTAACTCCTATTCATTTATTGGTTGACTTTTTAATAGCAGAAGCCAGAGTGACTTTTCAGCTTTAAGTTGTACTCCGTTATTAATTAGCTGTAATCATGGAAGCTCATCAACATTTCTCCAAATAATTCTCTAGTCATCCTCAGTAAAACTATGATACAACTTAATTAGGAAAAGTATAATAGAGGGGAATTTATTGCTTACGAACTACCTCCCTCCCTAATGACCTGAAATTACATTGCCATATGGCAAATATCCTCTGCAAAGCTGCAACCAAACTTGTTGGCAGACTTCGTGATTACATGTTGACTTGAACTCTTAGATTCCTTTTTTAAGGATCCATAAGGTCCTGTAGAACAGGGTCCCCAATCCCTGGGCCACACAGCAGGAGCTGAGTGGTGGGCAAGCGAGCTTTACTGCCTGAGCTCCGCTTCCTGTCAGATCAGCGGCTGCATTAGATTCTAATAAGAGCACGAACCCTATGGTGACCTGTGCGTGTGAGGGATCTAGGTTGCACGCTCCTTATGAGAATCTAATGCCTGATGATCTGAGGTGGAACAGTTTCATCCCGAAACCTGCTGCACCACCCCTTGGTCCGTGGAAAAATTGTCTTCCAGGAAACTGATCCCTGGTGCCCAAAAGGTTGAGGACCACTGCAAAAGAATACCCACAGATATTTGCAGAACACGGCAGTGTCCTAGTGTTTCTAGAACAAGGGTTGTTGCACTTGACATGTATCTTATTAAGAAATGGGAAGAAGAGAATGATCTTCACGATTTTTTTCAAAGGTTTATTTCTAATACATAATATTCTTTTTGTTGCCACTATATATATAATGCATAATTTTATTACATATATATAGTGGCAACAATTAAAAAATTATGTATTAGAAATAATCCTTTGAAGATATAATATTTTTATATTTATATATATACACATACATATACGCATATATACACACATATATACATATACATATACACACACACATCCACACAGTCATGTGTTGCTTAACAGTTCTGCCAAATGCATCGTTAGGCGATTTCGTCGTTGCGCGAGCCTCATAGCGTGTACCCTTACTTAAACCTAAATTGTGGAGCCTACTACACACCTAGACTAGATGGTCTAGGCTACTGCTCCTAGGTTACACACCTGTACAGCATGTGACTACACTGAATACTATAGGCAGTTGTAATACAATGGCTGTGATGTCACCAGGTGATAACAATTTTCAGCTCCATTACAATTTTTGGACCACTGACATATACATAGTCTGTCACTGACCAAAATGTTAATATGCAACGTGTGACTGTACTTTAAGATTTCTAAGGAGAACAAAAATGGGTCTAGACCTTAAAACCCTAGCAGTTTCCTCTCAATAAAAGTAAGGGAACAAGAGTATGTGTATGTTTGTATTTCTGTGTCTGTTTTTTCCTGCATATTAATGAGTAGTTGATGGTAGGAGTATACTCAAATATGTAACCTGTATCCAATGTTTATATCACGTGACTCTTTGGAAATCATGGCGTAGCAAAATCAAATTTTACATTTGTAACATTTTATTCCATAATTGAATCTAAACTACACCCTACCCCCTGCTTTGGTGAGTGTAAAGAATAGTTGTAGCTTAAAGCTAGAGGAACAGTTTTTTAGATAACGTTCCAGGTTGAATAATAAAGTCTTCAGAAATAGAAGAGTTACCCATCTGGAAAAGTCAGGACTCCAATTAGTACTTTGCCCTTTTTCAGAACAATCACTTCATAAAAATCCACACATGCAAACATTTAATCTGAACTATTAAGTGCTGTGATTGATAAGGAACCTTCAAGGTAAGTGAAAAGTGGTGATGCCAACTGGTATTTAAAAATTACTGTAGCTTGCTGAATTCCAGCTGTGTGCCCTCTGTCTTTGCTGAGATCCCAGGATCAGATGTTTACTATGTGTTGTGGTCCCAGTTTCCCAGGGGATGTTTTTCCATAGACACAACAGTTCAGAAAATCAATGATTTGCAGACAGTTTGACTTCCATTAAGAAATGACGTTGACCGGGCACGGTGGCTTATGCCTGCAATCCCAGCACTTTGGGAGGCGGAGGCGGGTGGATCACCTGAGGTCAGGAGTTCAAGAACAACCTGGCCAACATGGCAAAACCCCGTCTCCACTAAAAATATAAAAATTAGCCCAGCATGGTATTGGGGGGCGCCTGTAATCCCAGCTACTGGGGAGGCTGAGACAGGAGAATTGCTTGAACCCGAGAGGCGGAGGTTGCAGTGGGCCGAGATTGGGCCACTGCATTCTTGCTTGGGCGACACAGTGAGACTCCATCTCAAAAAAAAAAAAGACGTTTGCAGTTTTTTGTACCAGAAATTTAGACTGGAAAGATTGTGAACTTTTTTACTGTTGTTAATTGTCAGAACTTTTGTAAAATGTGTTCCTATCTGTTAACTATACCGAGTATATGACTATTTTTCTACTCTGACAACTATTTTTTTTTTTTGAGACAGAGTTTCACTCTTGTGGCCCAGGCTGGAGTGCAATGGCGCAGTCTCGGCTCACTGCAACCTCCTCCTCCTAGGTTGAAGCGATTCTCCTGCCTCAGCCTCCCAAGTAGCTGGGATTACAGGCATGCACTACCATGCCCGGCTAAGTTTTTTGTATTTTTTAGTAGAGACGGGGTTTCTCCATGTTGGTCAGGCTGGTCTCGAACTCCCAACCTCAGGTGATCTACCCACCTCAGCCTCCCAAAGTGCTGGTATTACAGGCATGAGCCACTATGCCCGGCTTACTCTGACAACTATTAAATAAAAGATTATTTTGTACAAAATTATTTGATGTTATTTAGTATTTCAATATGAAAGTAGCCAAAGCCATTTTCCTGAGACTATTTCCTTTTAACAAGTACTAATTCAGGTTCTCAGATTTAGCCCTTTTTGGTTGCGTGAGTCATTTTCATACAAAAGCACACTGATTACCAACACCAATGATAGTGAGCATACAGAGCACAAGTGGAAAGACTGATCCGGAAGAGAAAAGCAATAGACATGTTCAGCTCAGAACTCTCAGGACGGAGGCCATCCCAATCCTTTAGGATTCAAACCACGAAGAATCTGTAGAACCCTCTACACTGGAGTTGCTGATCTGCCCAAGGGGCTGCTGGCTGCCACGTGTCCACGTCTCAGTAACAGAAGCAGAGAATGTGCCCCGATTCTCTGTAGTCAACTAGAAGGGAAGGAGGAGGGCTTTGGGACTTCTAGCGGAAAGTGTTGTCTTGCCACTTCTCACAAATTCTCACTGTGTGGCTTTGGAAGACACACACTAAATTTTCCTACACTCTCGCACTTCTGTGACCAGAAGTGTGTGGGTGTCTCCCACCGCAACCCATTCTCTGACACCAGCTGGATGTCCTACAATTCAATTCAATTCTGACACCATCTACCTGCAGTTAGCATCAGATTCTGCAAGGAAAAGGGCTTATCTGACCTTACTCAGATTTCACCAGTGTTTTCCTTATTCTCTTTGCCCTGTGGATCACAAAAAAATTTTACAAATGCAGAAAAGCTGAAAGGATAATACAATGGAGCCAGGCTCAGTGGCTCACGCCTGTAATCCCAGCACTTTGGGAGGCCGTAGTAGGAGGATCTATTGAGCCCAGAAATTCAAGACCGGTCTGGGCCACATAGTGAGACCCCCATTTCTACAAAAAATAAAAAAAAATTAGCCAGACATGATAGATCATGCCTGTAGTCTCAGCTTCTTGGGAGGCTGAGGCAGGAGGATCGCTTGAACCTAGGAGTTTGAGGCTGTGGTGAGCTAAGATTATGCCATTGCACTCCAGCCTGGGTGATAGCATGAGACCCGGTCTCAAAAAAAAGAAAAAAAAAAAATTGAAATCTTGCTACCTGCCGCCTGAATTCATCAGTTGAAAGCACGTTGGCGTATTTGCTTCTGTCATGTGTCTCCAAGTATCTCTATCTATACAGCCAACCCCTTTCAGTCAGTGAGAGACGGGGATGCACCTGCCCTCAGCTGTTCAGCAAATATCTCTGGGGAGGAAAGACATTCTCTGTTGCTCCATCAGAATGCACCAACCACCCCTCGTGCCATTTATATTCAGATTTCCTTCATTCTTTCCAAACTTTTATGTCCTTTTCAGCCATCACATTTGGTGGTTGTGTCTCTAATCATTCTTTTTCTAAAATAAATCCATCACCATCACATTGTTTTGTTTTCTTTTCATAACATTGCTTTTCAGTTTTTCTGAAGAGATCAATCCATAGCTTTTGTAGACTATCTCCCATTCTGGACTTTTTTAATGCTGCCTTGTAATATGCCTTTCAACTGGTTTATTTATCCCCCTGTGTGTTCTGCAAACCAGAAGCTTGTTCTGAGATTCAAGCTCAACTCTTTGGCAAGAGTGTTTCAGTACTGGTGTTGAAAGCTTTCTGCTGTTTTACTTCAGGAGGCTGGGCATGTCATGCTCACCCACTACTGGTGATGCTGAATTTGACCACTGGGTTAAAAGCTGGTAACTTCCAGATCCCTTCATTGTGAAAATATGTACCTCTTCCTACCTTTGCAATTATCAGATAATCTTTGGGTGAAACTTTGAATCCACAAAAATGTGGACATGTCCTATTTCCCTAACAATCCTTCATTGGATGGGTTGAAAATCTATGGCTGGTCCTTGTCTATAATGGTTACTCCTTTGGCTGAGCAGAATGGAAATTTCCTAAGTCTAAGAGTCAAGTGCTTTGTCTTCAGTCTAAGAGCATTGGGAAGCCATTACAGAAATGGGTTCCATGTGATGTCTGGAAAGCATTGATGCCGTGATCAGATTTATCATTTGAAAAGTGAAGCGTGGGGACAACAAAGGACAAGGATGGACCTAAGTCCAGGTGCGAGAGGATGGCTGTTTTATTCAAGTGGGGACAGGGATGGAAAGGTGCAGACAGAGTTATGACATGATCTTGCCTCTGAAATAGATGGATGGCTATTGTTAGAGCAGCCTGCTTGTTGTATAAGACATCCTGTGAATAGTCAAACTAAAACATGCAGCCGGGCACAGTGGCTTACACTTGTAATCCCAACACTTTGGGCGGCCGAGGCAGGAGGATTTCTTGAGCCCAGGAGTTCAAGACCATCCCGGGCGATATAGCAGGATACTATCTCTACTAAAAATTAAAAAACTAGCCAGGCATGGTGGTGCACACCTGTGGTCCCTGGATACTCAGGATACTGAAACAGGAGGATCACTTGTGTCCCAGGGTTGAAGCTGCAGTGAACTAAGATCGTGCCACTGCACTCCAGCCTGGGTGAGGGAGTGAAATGAATAAATAAAATAAATAGAAACTAAAACTAAAAAATGCAACAGGAATAAATCCACGTTGAATGATGAAATTTTTACAAAATACCCCTTGTTGACTTGGAGACCCTAGTGGAACAGTCTGGTAAGCCTCGTCAGCTGCTCGAGGCAAACACAGTTGTTAGGGGCCACCGCCATGGCTAGTGAATTATGCAGAAAGCAAGGAAGACTTGCAGAGCCTCATCTCCCACTAGATGCAGCATTTTGTTTGATCAGCAAAGTACCAAAATTTAACAGCTGAGCCATACTAATGAAGTATGGGACTGTGTCTCTTAGAAAAGAAAGAGAATTGGGAAAATATGCTTCTCTTCCAGAATAATAAAAACGAGAGCCCGTATCTCAATTATTAGGATTTGAGAAGTAATCATCAAGAAAGCCAGCAATTTCATGCAAATAGAGATGTGACTGAATTGCGGTACTCAGCCTGCAAAATATGCAGCAAAATATGCAGCCTGGTCGTTAAAATGGGAAACTCTTGACAAAGTGAGGAAACTCAGTAGTGAAATATGAATTTCAATAATTAAACTGGAAAAGAAGCCATTTGTTGTGTCGGAAGGGAGGACTGGGATGCTCCCGCTCCTGAGATCAGGAGGACACAACGCCCACGTGCAGAGTTTGGAGGACATCTGGACTGACTTTTCCAACTTGATGTTGTCCAGGTCACTAATGTCTCCTAGACTGGAGGCATCTGCTCAAATAGAGTGATCAGGATCACTCATTTTATTTACGGTGAGGGCACAGCAAACTCCTCACACCGCGGACTTCACCTGCCAGAACCTGACTTGGCCATTAGAGTTGGAGAGAAAGTATGTTAACTTTGAACATTAGCTTGTTAGTGTCATCAAATTTAACTTGTGCCTCTTTGCAGGAGCTGCTTATTTAGACCTTGTACTGGGAATTGCTTTCTTGGCTGCTTAAATTCTGTTCACCACCTTGGCCTTCACAGCCATTGCACCTAATTATGATTCAGGAGATTAAATAAATGAGAAATATCCACTCATTTGACGATCCCTGACCCCGGCCTCGCTTTTCTAAGACAGTTCTTGGTTGCCTTTTCCTTTCCCACCTTGAGTGTTGTGTGAGTTTGGGGCTACCAGGGATGTGTGCTTTTTGGGATAGCCACTTGTTTTGTTCAGGTTAGCTCAGAGCACCTGTCAAGCTCTCGAAAGTAGGAAATCTTCTAATTCTGATACACACATAATGGACAGCCCCTAGGAACTGGCTGCCCCTTCCTGATGCCAGGCACATTCTTATTGGCATGGAAGCAGGGTAGAGCAGCTGGGTGTGTCCCAAACCCTGATTCTTTTCAGTTGCCCTGCGAAGTACAGAGAGCATCATCTAAGACACCAGAAGCGTAACTCGGTAGCTTTTGGGGATGTAGCTGCCATCTAGGAGAGTTTGGCAACATGGCCATCCACTCAAATGGTTTACTGCGTGCCGAATCTGTGCAGATGGTCAGGAGTTCCTATTGGAGCCTTTCATTTTGAAATTCCATGAGAGAAAGAAACAGACAGTAGCATCCTGTATTCAACCTGAAATCATGTCCTGTTCATCATGAAAAATGGATTTAGAGCAAACATAAGAAAAAGCTGTAACCTGCAAGCCTTGTTTGTAAAAATCATGTTTTCCTAGAAGCAAAAAGGATTTGAATGCCTATTCCTAACCTTTGGGGATTTACTCTTTAACTATTAAAGTGACATGCTCAGGGACTATTTCAGAATATATTCTTGAAGAAGCCAGCTCAGACAGGAGGTGCTTGGGTAAACAGAAAGACAGGTCTAATTCACAGCTCCTGTGAAATGTATCTTCATTACTTTTCAGGATGTTTTCATTCGGCCCTTAAAAATGGGGTCTTTTATAATCTAATCATCGATGGGGGGGCGTATCATTTTTACCTTTTTCTTGGTGGGCCATTTCAGTGTTTTGTTTTTTTAATTTCAGGATTTCCTAATGGAAACATTCATCATGTTTAAGAACCTCATTGGAAAGAACGTTTACCCCTTCGACTGGGTGATCATGAACATGGTGCAAAATAAGTAAGTGTGGGGAGAATGGCTCTCACCTTTTCTATGGCTCCCAATTCATGTCTGCTGGGAACAGTGATGTTGCCTGGAGACCAAGCTGGCTTCAATAAAATGTTCTGCAAACGCTGTTCCTAACTCTGTGAGGCAAACAGTTCTAGGGAGACATGGACTCTGAGTTTGTGGTGACTTCCTTATGACAACACAGGGCTCTAGCTGTAAGAACTTGAGCTTCATCCCCTGGAGAAAAATAGCCTGGACCTGGATCTCCCATAGCTGTCGTCATGGGCACACGGGTTCTGCTCGGCGTCGCTTTGCGCTCTCCTGTTACCCACATGTTTTTATCAGCCCTAGCCACCGTCAGCTCCATGCACGAGGCTTTTGCAAAGTGTTGACATTTCACGTATTTCAGTTTTTTTAATCATGAGCGTTTTCTTCTTACTCATTCAGTATTGAACTTGTGCCTTGTTTATCATCTCCAGTGAGGGCTGTTGGTTAATTTTCTAGTACACCGGCTTTTATCGTTTCTGTGAGCACTAACAATGACCGTAGAATTCTCAGTCACATGGGATTTTTCAAAAGAACTTTCTGTTCATCTCTGTTTTCCTTTCTCATTGCAGTTTTTATGGAGATAATTGTGGGTTCGTGTGCAGTTGTAGGAAGTCATAGAGATCTTGTGTATAAGGGAGTCGATGATGCAATTCACTGATCTTACTCGGATTTCCTCAGTTTAATTTGTATTCATTAGTGTTTGTATTGAGTTGTGTGCAGTTTCACCACTTGTATATACTGTGGACTCCACCGCAGTGAAGCCACTGAGCGTTTCCATCGTCACAAAGGTTCTGCTTGTTGCCCAATTATAGCCACATATACCCCTCCCCTCCCCGCCCCACCATCCCTGAGCTCTCTCAACCACTCATTCGTTCTTCATTTGTATAATTGCTTCATTTCAAAAATGTTACATAAGTGTAATCATACTGTATGTATGCTTTTAGCACTGGCTGTTTTCACTTTGCTTAATTCACTGGAGATCCATTTAGGTTGCTGCCTGTATCAATAGCTTATTCCTTTTTATTGCTGGGTAGTGTTCTGTGGTACGACTGGACCAAGTGTGATGAACCATTTTCCTGTTGGAGGACGTCTGGGCTATCCCCAGTTTGTGGCTCTTATGAATAAAGCTGCCAGCAGCCTTCGTGCAGCTGTTTTTGGGTGAACATGAGTTTGTTTCTGTGGCATATATGCCTTTGTGGACAAATGCTGGGTTGTTGGGTAATTGCACATTTCATGACATAGGAAACTGCCAATCTGTGGCTCTACCATTTTACATTCCCACCAGCCAGGTGAGTGATTCGGTTTGTCTGCATCCAGCCTTTGCTGTTGACACTGTTTTTTATTTTAGCCATGCTGGTAGGTGTGTAGTGTATCTCCCTAGGAGATATCTCCTAGGGAGATACACTACATTTGAATTTTCTGTGATGCCTTTGCCTCTTTTTAATGCCTGTTGTCCTTCCCTTCGACAAATCCAAAGCAGCACGACCTTTCCTTTGGCCTCCTCTGGGTTTTGCTGCTTTCTGGGGCAGCAGAGACAGATTGGCCTTGTGTACCATGGCTGCAGGAGTCCTGCAAACCTCCCTGAGGGGTAAGCGTGAGGGAGGGAGTGATGTTCACCCCACGTCAGATGTTACTGAGGTTGAAGTCTCCTTCCACACATCAAAGATGGCATTTGAGAGTAGATGGTGAGGACGCCCCAGAGACCCTGGCATTGCTGTATCCTTAGCCCTGGCCCAGGGACCAGAGTGGGGGTCCTGGCCTCTGCTCCTCCTCACCCTTCCACGTGCTGGGTGACTTTCAATTATTCCTGTGGCCATCTCTCAGCTTCCAAGTCGTCCTCTGGAAAATGATGGACTTAAAATAAAGCACTAGTCTTTTCCCTTTTTCTCTGTCAGGATGAACTTTTGTGATGGACAGTCTAGATTTCCTGTGAAGAGCTCTATCGGGTTGTGTTTTTAATGGCTGTATTTTGCACATAGAGAAAACAAGCAAACACACCAGCAACAAGGATCAAAACCCCCGCCGCCCTGGAGCCACAGATCTCATGACATCATTGGCCAGGAGCAGAGGTGTGGCTGAGCAGGCCCCTGAGCACAGGGTGTGGAGGCGGCCTGGCCTGGTGGATGCCGGCCTGGCCTGGTGGAAGCCGTGCTCTGCCTCCTGACTCCTCCACGTGTAGACCTGACCTTCAGGTCTCCCAGCGGAGCAGCTCATCCTGGCTGTCAGGCTGTGGGCTCTGTGGCCCCGGGTGAGCACTGCGCCGACAGAGGTCAGGCGGGACGGGCTCCCTGAGGTTGCATTCATGTCGCTTCTACTCCGAGGGTCTCCTGTTTAGGAGGGCATAGTCAAAATCTACTTATTTTATGATTTCTTTCTTTCTTTCTTTCTTTTTTTATAATTGAGAGCCTGTTTTCAGTTGGAACATTGTGGCCGCATCATTCTCTCTTCCTGCTTCACTGTTTTCCTCCTGCCACCAACCCTGTGCTACATAAGGGTTGCTGCAGCACTAGCCGCAGTGCAGAGCCACACAGTCACTAAGTAAGTGGTCTGGGGCTCAACCCTGAGAGTGCTATGGTTCTGGTTCCCTTCTCCAGAGACCTTGTCCATCTTCTCCTGGGATATTCTATTGTTTGTGGGGTGAGCAGGTGGCTTGATCCGCATTCCTTGGAATCGTGAATTCGCTGCAAACCAGTGGCAACCTTCCCCGGCCAGCACCCCTCCTCACTAGAGCCCCTCCACAGGGCACGGTGCCTGACACAGGTACACGCACTGCAGCAGCAGGTTGGTGCAGTGGCGTTTGGGACCAAAGCCTTTCCGTCTTAGAAACAGGGAAGAGAGTCTTTTGTTTTGAGGACAGGGAAACCCTGTGGGAGAAGCCACAGTGCTCAGTGTCCTCTCAGCGGTTGATTGGATGAGACTTCTGAGGATAAAGTCTACCTTGGTGATAATAAAGTCCACCTTGTTCTCTTGTTCATCGTGTACACAGACGGCAGCTGCAAAGGCGTCTTGACAAGGGAAGCAGCCTGAATGTAAAATCCTACAGTTTATTTTCTGTTTTACATAAAATGCTATGCTGAACCGTCTCATCAAGGATTCTAGTTCTCTGAGGCCAGGTCGTTGGGCAGCCAGTGTTTCCTCCATGGGAGCTTCCTGCAGAGAAGTGGTGTGTGCCTGTGGATGTGCCCATGCTCATCTGTGTGTGTGCCTGCATGTGTGTGCATGTGGGTGTGTGTGTGTACCCGTGTTCATCTGTGTGTGTACATGTGGGTGTGGGTGTGTACCTGCATGTATGTGCATGTGGGTGTGTGTGTGCACCTGTGCTCATATGTGTGTGTACATGTAGATGTGTGTGTACCTGCATGTGTGTGCATGTGGGTATGTGCACCCGTGCTCATCTGTGTGTGTACATGTGGGTGTGGGTGTGCACCCGTGCTCATCTGTGTGTGTACACGTGGGTGTGGGTGTGCACCCGTGCTCATCTGTGTGTGTACACGTGGGTCGTGGGTTGCCCCGTGCTCCCCATCCTGTGGTGGGTACACCGTGGGTGTGGGTGTGCACCCGTGCTCATCTGTGTGTGTACACGTGGGTGTGTGTGTGTACCCGTGCTCATCTGTGTGTGTACCTACATGTGTGTGCATGTGGGTCTGGGTATGTGTACCCGTGTGCTGAGGTCTTGGTTTCAAGGAAAGGCACTTTTATTTGCAGAGATTCTGACTTAGAAGCTCAAACAAACCCATATTCCTATCCCAGTTGACACACTGAGCAGAAACAAGTTCCCGAGGTCACGCAGCACAAGAGTCAGCCACGGAAGAGGCATTTTAGGTCCCGATTGGAGTTGGTCACTGATAACTGTAACTTTTATTCCCACATCCTTCTGCCCCCAAATGCTGCCCTTTGTGTTGAATAAACAAGATGAATGTTTAGAAGCGGGATCAGGTGGGTGTTTGAAGAAGGTTATTGCCTCCCTGTGGTCAGATACTTGACACCGTCTGGAGACGGCTGGTTGGAAGACCCTTAAGTATTCTTTGACACCTTTGCTTCAATACCAGCTTCAAAATTCAATACCAGCTTCAAAATGAAGGGTTTGCGTCCCTTTCCCTGTACGCACGCATTCTCTGTGAGGCAGTGCGCGTCCGCACTGTGGAGCCGAGAGTGAGCTAACACTGGGCATGCCTTCCAGCACCAGTCCCTGCCATGGGGATGTCACATGCCATCACATCCTGAATGCCCTCAGCAGCCCTCGGGACAGCTGCTGTGTTTATGTCCGCTTTACATGTGGGAAAATTGAGGCATGGAGGTCGGGTCACTTGCCAGAAGACACAGAGCTGGGCGGTGTTAGTGCCAAAACTTAAATCCAGAGCATCCACCCCAGAGTTGCGCCTGAGCCACCCAGCTACGCTGCCTGTTGGTCTTAAGTAGGTCTCCTGTTTCCCAAGAGAGTGTTAGGAGTTTTTGTTTTGTTTTTATTCGAGTGTCTATAAAACATAACAACTTTCCACAAGGTTTACTGCTTACATGAGTGAATTTTGAGCGTGGAATTCATTACATTGCTACTTACTTTCTTCACCTTTAGAAGGATATGCACCATTTGTTAATGTGCTTCATACAAGCAAATCTTGCTGTGCAGTCTAGAAAAATCACATCTCCCTAGTATTGTCATAAAGTAATCCCCTTATGGAAATTACAGATACCATATTCTATGTCTTTATCTACCTGCCAGATATGTGTATCTATATTGCGTCTTACTAGATTAACATTTTATATGTTGCCAGACATCCCTGCTTCCTCCATCCCTTAACAAGTACCAGAGACTTCCTTGCCTCGGCTGGATGAGCAGTGGTTCCAGAAGCTTCTGGAGTCTGTGTTTCAGTTTTAATGGCGCAGTTGGACATGTAGTTTTACCACCTATGGCTTAGAAATGGACAAAATCAGCCTCTGTGGTCTCTTATATTTGTACACTTGTT